AGGCCATGGCTGCGCTGGTCCCCTGTGGCCACAACCTCTTCTGCATGGACTGCGCCGTCCGCATCTGTGGCCGCAGCCAGCCTGAGTGTCCTGCCTGCCGCACGCCAGCCACCCAAGCCATTCATATCTTTTCCTAGTGCGGCACCGGGGCACGGTGGCCGTGACCTCTCCAGGGGCCTCCGAGGCGCGATCCTCCGGTGCCAGGGTGGGAGGTGGCTGTGGGGTTGGGGGCAGGCCTGGGGCCACCCAGTGACGAGAATTGGCTTTAACTCCTCAGCCAGGCGCGGGGACAGCCAGCGGCCCAGCTGCAACACCCCAGTTCCCGCTGAGTGACAGTGTTGAGTGAACAGGTTCAAATAAACCGAGAGAAGAGGTCTCCTTGCACTTTTTACTTAAGATGCTCCCTTTCCCAGGGTGACCTTAAAAACGGAAATGAAAAAAACCACGATTTTTACAGCTTTCCTCGTCTTCCCTTTGTATGTGGCTGTTTTGGATTTGACAGTGTTCTTGCCAGCCGGTCTCAGATGACCCCAACACTTCAGAAGGAGAAGGGTGGCGTTTTTAACTTTTTTGGGATTCATGTTTACCATTTTGTACGCAGCCACCAGTGGCCCCCACAGGAGGCAGGGGGCGGGGTCCTGGGTTTCTTTTTTCTCCCTAATTATGAATCCCCTTCCCTGCTGTTTTTTGGTTGTCTTTTTTTTAAAAAAAATTTAAAAGTGTTTTTTTTTTTTTAACTTACTTTTTACCTCTTGTGTATATGTAGGGAATTTATAGGGAAATGTGTACTTTATGGAATAAATTTTAAGAACTAAAATATATTTTATTTTAAATAAAAGTAATGGACCTTTAATCTTCCACAGCTAAATTGCTGATTATATATTTGCTGAGCTGATTTAAAGGTTAAAAAATTGTATCAAGAGTTTTATTTTTTGACTTCAAAGCCTTCTTAATAAAGTCTTTTTACTACACAAGAGCCCTCAGTGTCCCTGTGGGGTGGGGCGGGCGGTGCTGTCTCCAGAAGAGGGGATAGGGTCGTGGGGTACACTCAGCATCCTTCCCAAGGCTTAGGTACCCTCAGCCAGTGGACGTCCAGCCCCAGGGACATCTGTGGCTTCCGCGGGGCAGGGGTGGGGGGAGCCAGCTGCTTCATGAAGCCTCTGCTCAGCACCCTGGGGAGAGTAGAACCCGCCCTACTGTGCATGTGGGAAACAGGCCTGGCGCCCCTTCCAGATGTTCCCAGGGACAAGGCCCAGCTCTTCAGGGCAGCACCTGAGTCCCGGGATGGGGAGGGACAACTGGCAGCCAGTGGGTGCCACGGATTGCCAAGGACGGGAGGAAACCTGGGGTTGGCGCCTGGCTTCTCTGGGGACAAGGCAGGGAGCTGGGGTTCCTGCCCAGAGGCTGCTAGCTTGGCAAGGGGGCCTGGGTCAGAGCTCGTCAGGAAAGCTGGGTGCGTGAGGAAGGGAGGACTGGGGAGCTTACAGAAGGAGCTATCAAATGCCTGACGGCCAAGCCACAGGAGGGAAGAAGCAGCCGGACGTGACGCCATCTGGGCTGGAGCAAGCGCTGCTGGAGCCCTTGCCTACCCGCCCCCCAGGGTGTGGGGGCCACTTCTGTGCAGCTGCAGGAGGCTTGGTGGGTTGGCTGGTGCCCCTCCCCCATCAAAGTGTCCCCTGGAACTTGCAAATGGGAGCTTTTTTGGAGAAAAGGCCTTTTGTAGATACAATTACAGATCTTGAGAGGAAATCGTCTTGGGCTAGAGCGAGCCCTACATCCGGAGACAGGTGTCGTTATAAAGAGAGGGAAGCCTATAGGGAGGGTGCCTACAAATCCAGTACTCTGAGAACGGAGGATGGCAAGTGGGAGCCCAGCTTCGACAACTCAAAAACCTAGCAGGAGCCTCTCAAAATAAAAAAGCTGGGAATACAGCTCAGTGTGAGGCCCTGGGTGCCGTTTTTTTTTTTGTTGTTGTTGTTTTCTTTTGGAAAAAAATACAAAAAGAAAGGAAGAAGTAAAGAAAGGGAGAGAGAGAGGAAGGACAGAAGAAAGAAGGAAGGAAAAAGGACATCTTGGCACATCTGGGGAGATGAACAGGCTTGCGCTTTGAGACAGAGTGAGCGATGCAGCCACAGGTCGGGGAGGAACCGGCCTGGCCAGAGCCTTTGGGAGGATGTGGGGACTTCGTGCAGGTCGGGGGAAACCCACTCAGGGAGCCTGCACGCTGCTTATGAACCATGAAGTTGGAAGGGGGAGCTCGTAGCCGCCAAGCCCTGGAGAGAGCCCGGGAGGCAGCCGGGGCTGGGGATTAGAGGCTGATGGTTGCAGCCCTGGATCTTGCAGTCATCCCTACCTTTCCGTTAGAAGACCTAGCTGGCTCTACTTTGGCCTTTTGTTTTGTTTTGTCTTTTTGAGACAGGGTCTCACTATGTAGTCCAGACTGCCCTGGAACTCACTGTGTAGCCCAGGCTGGTCTCGAACTCACAGCGATCCTCCTGCCCCAGCCTCCCGAGTGCTGGGATTACAACTACTTTGCCCTTTGAATCACTGCAAGCTGAATAAATGGAACTGGATGTGTTTTCTAGAAGGGCTGGGGTGGCAAATGCCGGGCCAGTTGCTGGTGCCCCTGGCCTCTCCACTTCCAGGCAAAGCCAGGGAAGCCTATGCCTGAGACCTGCCCTGCGTCCTCCGTGCCAAGGCTCATCACCACTGCCCCCAGGCCTTGTGGCCCGGGGACATGGCACTCAGGTGACCTCAGTCCGGGGCCTGTGAGAACCCCTTTCTGAGTCTCACCAGGAGCCTGGTGTCTGAGGTGTGGACTCTGCCCTGCCACCTGCACAGGTTGGGGTCTCTCGAGAGGTCCCCAGGGGATTGTGCCTCGGTGTCTAGCTCTGGGATCACCCACCACATCGCAGCCTCCATGTGTCTCTGCCATGCAACCCTGGGCCCAGCACCTCTCTCGGACTTCAACTTCCACATCTGTGCAAAGGGGCTCAGCCTCATGCGAGTACAGAACACGGCGCATGGGGTGCAGGGAACAGCAGGGTCCCCTGGGCCTCCATCACAGCCCACAGATGCCTACTTACAGGGTGAATGGATGGGTGGGTGGGTGGGTTAATAATGGACCAAGTGGATGAAGCAAAAGCAGGGTGGGAGAGGTGGGAGAGATGGGCTCAACCTGCACCGTGTGTGCAGAGGGCTGCAGAGTGGTCGGTTTCCCGGCCAGAAGCGGGAGACAACATGGCAGAGACCTGAGAGATCACCGTGCCTGTCCCAGGACCGGGATCCTTCGGTCTCACCCAGGGGCCCCCTGTACAGATGTGTGATGAAAGTTCCTGCTTTTGCCACAGTACACCTCACCCCTCCACAAGCACATCAGTCAGGGACCTACAGGATCTGAGTCTGAACCTGCATCACCATGTGCACGCAGCTGGTGACTACTCTGTTGGCTCTTTCTAGAATCTTGTAGAATAGTTCAGGCCAGTATTGTCCAACAGAACCCTCTTCAATGATGAGCGTGTGCTAAACACAGGCACCTCAGGCACACGCAGGCCCTCAGCCAGGATGCTACAATTGTGAAGTGGAAATCTTTATTATTGAGCTTTAATTGAACCATAAATAGCCACAGATTTTTTTTTTAAAAAGGGAGAGCAGCTAGAGAAACTATTCTTGCTATGCAGACTTTGAAAGCAACATGTAGTAGACAAAATTTTAAAAGGAAGAGAGAGGGCTGGGTGTGGTGGCACGTGCCAGCATACAGGAGGCTGAGGCAGGAGGATAACTTTGAGCTCAAGACCGGCCTGGGCTGGGTGTGGTGGCACGTGCCAGCATACAGGAGGCTGAGGCAGGAGGATAACTTTGAGCTCAAGACCGGCCTGGGCTGGGTGTGGTGGCACGTGCCAGCATACAGGAGGCTGAGGCAGGAGGATAACTTTGAGCTCAAGACCGGCCTGGGCTGGGTGTGGTGGCACGTGCCAGCATACAGGAGGCTGAGGCAGGAGGATAACTTTGAGCTCAAGACCGGCCTGGGCTGGGTGTGGTGGCACGTGCCAGCATACAGGAGGCTGAGGCAGGAGGATAACTTTGAGCTCAAGACCGGCCTGGGCTGGGTGTGGTGGCACGTGCCAGCATACAGGAGGCTGAGGCAGGAGGATAACTTTGAGCTCAAGACCGGCCTGGGCTGGGTGTGGTGGCACGTGCCAGCATACAGGAGGCTGAGGCAGGAGGATAACTTTGAGCTCAAGACCGGCCTGGGCTGGGTGTGGTGGCACGTGCCAGCATACAGGAGGCTGAGGCAGGAGGATAACTTTGAGCTCAAGACCGGCCTGGGCTGCATACTGACAATATGTTTAAAAAAAAAAAAAAGAAAGAAAGAAAGAAAGAAAGAAAGAAAGAAAGAAAGAAAGAAAGAAAGAAAGAAAGAAAGAAAGAAAGAAAGAAGAAAGAAAGAAAG